CAGTCACAAACCATAACACCAAATTTACAGATTACCAAGTTGAAATTACTCTTTTCAGTTTTTAACTTTTTTCTTCTCTGTGTAATTTGATACTACTGTCTGCAACCTCTTTCAAATGCATCTTGTGAATTTTAACTTTAACTTTTTAAATTTTTCGTTCTTTTTTAAGGTCATTTTAATTTATTTTAAAAAGACAAAAACAATAAAAACAAAACAATTTCAAAGCAAGATGATAGGAAATTAACAATGGTTATTATATTGCATATTGTTATCTTCAAAGTATTTGCTCAGATTACCAGATACAGGCATGCAAAATTGATCAAACAGTATAAACATTAACTGTTCCTTTCAATGAACTAATGGAAATTAGTGCAATTATCTTATCTGTCTTTTGCATATATATACATATCCTTTTTTTGTCCTTCTTTTCTCTTTTACCCGTTCCCAGTTGTTCTTTCCTTTTGAGCAGTTTAATTTTCCTTACGGCTTTGGTTGAACACCAGTTCAGGTATTTGGTTTAGGGGAAAGTACTTATGTTCAGATAATAATATCTCAGTCTTGGTAGTGTGCTCATGCTCATGGTCAGACTTACTGAGGAAGAAGAGCTTCCTGTTTTCTCTCATATACAGTATTCACTTTGTAGTATGCTCTTACTGAGTGGAATGATGGAAAGAGCTACCTAAGTTAATATTTTTCTAGCCTTGGAAAGTAATTTTACTTTGTCTAAATTAAAATACATGTGATGTGATTACCTCCTCTTACCCTTCCCCCCACTTTCCTTTTTTTTCAGGTATGGAAATTACTTGTGGAAAGAATTTAAGTTCTGAAAGACTGTTCATAAATCTTTCTGTAGACAGTTGCTAACATCTCCCTTGGGTGGCAAGCATTGCTGAGACACTTATTTCAGCTGATTTTGTTCAACTGTATAAAAATTTATGAGCTTATGAGAAGAGGGTCTTGTGTGTGGGACCTGAGGACTCTGGGTGCTCTCCTGTGGTGCTGGGACCCTGGTTGATTTGAGAAGTTTGCTTCTTAAAAGGACTGATGTGGCCTTCTCCCGCTGCTCCTCATTGAAGGCTATGGAACATCTAAATATCTTTTTTTTTTTTTT